TTTTTTTTTTTTTTTTTTTTCCAGGGTGACTGGGATTATGTAGACCCCCCAAAGATATATGTAGCTGCCATTGACAATGGGCTGGCATTTCCTTTTAAGCATCCAGACTCTTGGAGAGCTTGTAAGTTGACTTAAGCAGCTTGTTCAATCCCTATTACCTGAACAAGACTCTATTCCCAACAGAATTCTAGGGTCTGGCGTTGGATTTCTCATAGGAGCGCAAATTTCTTCCTTCATTGCACGTTCTTGGCAAGACGAATAACATCAATCCCTAAACCCTTTAACTCTCAACTCTCCCTTCTTGTTGCTGCACATTTCCTTGTAAATTAGTTAGAAGAATTTGATGTTAGATCAAGATAATATTTTCATCTGATAAGTTCGAGTATTCTCATTACATATACCTGTTTGCTGGACAGTGTATGCATATTGTAGGGAAAAGTTGTGTGTGTTAATCACTTCATGGAGTTAAAAGGTTAAGACTTAATTTGATTCTGAGCTTACTGTCTGAATTTCCGCCTATAGTTATCAAAGGTGACTTTTCAAACCATAACTACGTTTAGTTTCTTGTTTACAATAGGTATCGTCACTCTTTGGCAGATATTTGTACGAGTTTGGAGTGCCATGCTGTAGTACCCAATCCATACTTACTTTTCCTTTTTACCTCTGGCAGATCCATTTTACTGGGCATGGTTAACACAAGCGAAGGAACCGTTTATGGATGAGATTTCTGACTTTGTATTACCTCAAATAGCAGATATGAACTTTGTTCAGGACCTCACTGAGGACTTATACCTACTCTTTCGGGTATGTATTTTTCGCTTTTAATTTAAAACCCGCTTCTCGAGGAATTCTGAAATACATGTTGTCATTTTTTTTTCCATTTTAGGAGGACAAAGGCTTTGATAAATCGCTTTTTGAGAGACAGATGTCTGTTTTAAGAGGACAGGTAAGCATACAATCTATTTTTTATTTCATGATAACTTCTGATTTACAATTAAGTTTTTCCTAGAAATAAACCGACTGAATGGTCATTTCTTTTCTTTGTCAGATACTAAACTTAACTCAGGCTTTGCGGGACAAGAAATCCCCTCTGCAACTTGTGCAAATGCCCGTAGTCACTGTAGAAAGAAAGAAAATTGAATCTGGAGATCGACTGAGAAGCCAAAGTCACGCATTCACTCAAAGCTTTCAACACCGACCGCCGTTTTTCTCATGGTGCTAATCAAAGAAGTGTCATGCGACGAACTTTGTAACCAGTGATTTTCTCAGTTGATTCAAACTGATGAATAGTGCGCTCTCTGAGATTTGTGGGGTAGTGTCGTCAGTCTAACAATTGCGGGAAATTTGGCATCCAATAAGTCTTACTAGACAGCCATAATCTTGTTTTCCATTGGTGATATGGGACTGACATCATTGAATGTACAACCTCGCTCGCTCGTACTGGAAAAATTTGTGCGTACGTTTGGCAGAAGATCCAAAATGATTCAAAGCGACGAAAATGGTTTAGAAGTGTTGGATAATGTAATGAGGTTTATTTTTCTGATAGATGATTTCATAGTGGTTCCAATGGAGAAAAATTGCATTTATGTCGAACAAAAGTTCAGTTTAAAGAAACTTCTTAACAAATATACAAAGGTTGTAGTTCATATTTTGTAAATGATACAGCTTTATCAATCCGAAATTAAATGTATGACATTACCTTTCACTACTGCGGTGGTGCATTCTTAGAGTACAATTCTGTGCAGAGAGTGAAATTGTGTAACTGGAAATTCAAATTATTGTTACAATAAGAATGAATTGTCATGAATAGTGCGCTCCCCGGCCAGCGACTATTAAAGCAATCTGAAAATTGATAGGTTAATCTTCGAAAACTATGTAGCCTCATGTGAGCATTGATTAAAACATTATGGTGATGTTTGTGGAGGAGGCACTGAATCGTACTGTCTAGAAATAATACCTCAGTTTATAAATTAGTTAAATAAATGGATATTTGCAGTGCTTGATGCTTTGATATGGTGAAGCTAAACTTTATTAACCTACGCCGGTGTATGGAACAAGTGCCTCAGCAATCACTTTTCTTCTTGACTCGACCTTAACTTTATAAAAAGCAAAGTTAAAGTCCATCGTTATTATCGCGAATATCATTTTAAATGACGTGAATATCTGGAGCTCGAAGTGTTTCAAAGGCGTGACATTACGAGCACCAAGGTTGTGGTTATTCCCATGATTACCTAAAATTATACTACCATATGGACAGTGGTGCACTGTCCTAATTTTGATACTCGAAAATACTCGGAAATACTCGGAAATATTCGGTTCCATTCAAGCATCATGCAATAGAGTTTTTGTTTTTGGTACTCCAATAGACTTCTGTCGAAGGCAGCTGCATTGGGGGAGTGAGAAACGTAAACTGCATTGGGGGAGTGGGTTGCGTAATTTTTACACTTTAATTTGTGTAAGAGCGGTAACAACATCTCTTGGCTATAATCCACAGAGTTGTACAGTTCAATTTAGTACTCGACATTGACAGCTCTTTTACCCCGGTCGCCTTTAGCCAAATGAACGAACTTCCTGAACGTGAAATCCACAAACTCAAAGAGAGTGAGACAACTCATTCCCAAGAACAGACCGAATGTCCCTCCTAAGTCTCCTTCAAAGGAAAAAGAAGAAAAAATGGAATTTTAATTGTGTTCATAAGATTAGAGAGGATTCTGGTTGGATCCTCGTAAAAGCGTTCATAGCTTGTGCTTTTGCAGGCGTAAGGTAAAAAAACAAAACAAAGAAGAAAAAACCAGAAGAATTATAAGTTAATATCGGGTAGAAATGAAATCGAATCGATTTTGGAACTCCAGTATCACACGTATTGTTTAAAACAGAACCAAGAATTCACAACCCAGGCCCCTGTTGTTCGAAGGTTGGATAACGCTATCCACTGAATAAGACTCTAACCGGTCGATAACACTATACGATTTGATATCACTTATCCGCCGGATAGCGATTTATCTGTTATATAGCGTTATCCGACTCTCATACAACTGGGCCCGGATCAATAGTTGGAAAAGCTAGGAGAAGCACATTGCTTCTGTAAATAAAAAACGTGAAACTGACCAATCAAAGCCCAGGTCTCATAAAGCGGAGTCTGCGAAATGATGTCGACACTTAGGTCTTCAAAGTAGATGTCCAATGCAATAATGTTGTCACTGTGGGAAAGAAGAAGAATGAGATGTTCTCAAATGTTAATAATAGAACATCACTTTAATTTAAACTCTAGCAATGAAAGGACAACCCTCGCAATGTTAACTAGGACACTTGATGGGCGTCTAAACGATTGGAGCCTTGAAAAGCAATAAGATAACACAATATCGAAATGAGCAATTCACAGCTGATAAAATCAACTTGCAATTACAGCAAGGCAGGATGCTTCGTAAGGTCACGCGTGACCGGTAGTCATGATCTGAAAAAGACTAGCAGCAATTAATCGAAAGATCGCGCGGCGACTCAAATTGAAATTGATAAATTTCATTAATTACTGTAATTCACCGCGATGAGTTAAAACAACCCTAGTGTTACAAAATTGAACTAAAACACCTACTCTATGTATTTCTCCCTCTCGGCTTCCGTCATATTCAGCAGAGGTTCGTAAATCGATCGTTCGAGTGATGATTTCTCAGTCCCATTAAGGAAGGACATTAGATGTTGAATCAGAGCACCCCTCTGTAATCCACTGTACGAGAATGAAGTCTTGTACTCAATGTGATTGCAAGGCTCGGGACATTCTTTCTCACACTTCTTCTTTTCATCTGAGTTGCCAAACTCCTCTGTAAGCAGGCATTACTTTTCATTAGTGCCATAATGTCTTGTTCATCCTCTACTTTTCTAGCTCTGATAGAAGATCGATTTGATGAAAAAGTGGGATTGTATCCCAGGTGAGAATTTCATAAATGTATTTATCCAAGCATCAATAAATAATACCTAAGCCCCTGCATCTTACTCAGATTTAAGGAAGGGTCGATGGCAAGAAGTAAATGCTGGATCCTCCATTCCAGTAAAAATATATTGATGTAACCTTGGTGTGGTTATGTTAATAAGAAGCAATCCTAAAACCCTTTTACTAAAGGGGGTATAGAGTGCATGGGTACATGTTTTAACGAACTTGATTTGAGGAACAGAATGCCATGCTGTGATCATTTTTGTGCTAAGAAAGGTACTATTACACGAATTTGACTTCATTTTTGATCGTTAAATTGGTTGTATATCATATTTCGTCTTGTTAGGAATAGATTGACTTACCAAGAGATTTGTAAACACAAAGAGCTTCTTCTATCGGCGCACATAAGGGAACTGCAGGATCAGCTAAATAAAAAATTATAACAATAACAGCGTAAGAGCTATACTCGGTGGGTCCGACCTCTTTCAAAATTTGTTACGGTGCGCTATATTCTCTTATCATATTAAAATTCATAGGCTGGGTGTGAAAAACAAAACGATACCTACCTTTGAATTTTGTTGATGTGCAGTTGCAAGATTTGATTGTGAACTTATTGCGACATTTTACAAGACAGGCCTGTTTTCTGTAAGCAATCTGCGAGGCGCCGTTGAACGCTTCAAGGGTTCCTTTTCTACAGTTAGTGCCATACGGATGTGGCAGATTTGTAATCTGTCAAGAAAATTCATGACGATGATATTATTAAACAAACTCGTGATTTTCACCAAAAAATTACACGGACCAATAAAAGGCAAAAAGTCCGGTATAGTCCGTCTGCTGACTGACTGAGTTATCATGACTGACTGACAGATTGACTGATAGACGACTAATCAGACAGGCTGGCCCGCTGAGTAGTCCGATTCACTGACTATCTGACGAAAGGTTTATCGATCTGGCTGACTGGCCATTCTAACCAGTAAGGAAGAGACCAGCCATCCACATGGTTTCTCTTTAACTATCCAAGTGTGGCACAAGCTCACTCTCTCTCACAAACACAATAACTCGATAATTTCCATAATATTTAAAAAGACAACGTGGGGTTTTTGAAGTTTGTTAGGAATAAGCTACGAAATATCCTAAATGGGTAGGAAGCTGTTTTTGGAAATATTTCCAGCACTTACGTTTCTCCTTCGTATGGCACAAGTCGTAGACATCCCTGGTGGAACAGCAATTCCAAAATCTTCCACAATGGGAAAGCTGTTTTGGTCTTGAATAAGAATAATAATCCTAACAGAAGGCCAAATCAAATTTGGTATATAGCTCTCGCGTTCGATGTTAAGTCGTAGCTTCAAACCGTTTTGTTGGCCGGCAAACGAAGCATTTAGCACAGGCTTGCCATTTTCTGCTGCATTGAATGTGTAGCATTGTGCTAAAAGTGAATTGAGGAAGCTGGTAAAATTGCTCGCGTCGCATTTCTTTCCATTTATGGAACAGGAATGAAACAGGTGACCATTTGGTAAAAGCATGTCTTCAATTTGATGACTAAATTTCACTGCGTAAGGGTTGGTTTCGTTAGCCATTTTTGGGCGATAAAAAAGTTCTCGATTGCGTTCTTTAAAGTCAAACGTCGAAATATCATCTGATCTCGTCGTCATGAGAGATATATCTGCAATTTTTTTTCGATCACGCCTTCACTATAATGACCTCTTGCGATTTGCCTAAATCGTCGAGTGTTAAAGACGTTGAGATTGCACAAGGTTACTGCAGGGAACGGAAGCTGGTTGCCATCTCTATTAAAGTTTGTTGTCATTTTCGTGTTGAAAGGATAAAGGGAATATTCCTTTAAACAAACATAGACTTGATAAATACAGAAACCGAAGCATACTACTATCATCCCCAACCAAACCAGTCTTCTAATAAAGCCCTCACAGAACAAAAATTTGGCTCCGTGAAGTGTGGTATCTTGAGCGAACGACCTCAATCCTTCGAAATTACCATTAATTGTGTTTTTCTCAACAGCTTGGAGGTTTTTGATTCGTGCTTTGCGTTCGTTTAGGGTAGTATGCCTTTCACGGGTAATTTCATTTCTTTCGTTTGTCGCTGTCATTTCTAGAGTCATTCTCCTTGAGAAAACTTAAGATGCCTACTTCGAAGTAAATTCAGGCAGAGAGATTTACGCTTGGCATATATAAAGCGATGATCGTCAGTGTTCGACAGTTTCTCCTCATAAGAATGCAATGAAGTCGATACCGAGTCCGATGGAGACGAGAAATAAAATCGATGTTTGTTTTGGAGATTATAGCACGACTTGGAGGCAGATTACGTGCAGTTTAAATTACTTATGCACCAAGTTTAGCATAATACGCAAAAATTCACTTCGAATTGAACAAACAGTGAAACCTTTATCGACCCTCTCAGTAGGAAATTGCGTTCTTAGGCAGCTCTTTATTTCATGTAAGTTTTATGCATTATGTTTCATTTCCCTTTTTTTATTTCCCTCTTCCACTACATAGGACCGATTTTGAAAAATCTATTTTATCGACGCCATCTTGTATCTTTTGATCGTTGTCAGCTTTAACTTTTGAATGTTATGGAATTAATTATAGAACACGAACTTAATGGTGATGAAAACAGTTGAAGTCACCAACTGGAGAGATCTAAAGTGTTTTCATAACAGCCTAAACTGATACCATTTCAAGATTTCATTATGGATAAGTTTCTCTTTAGCAAATATTGATTCGTGTGTGAACAAGATAAAATTCTCATCTTGAACTACCATCAAACGACTGGTAAAGTACTAAAGGTGTTTTTCGCCTGTTCTCTTTTAAAATCAAACCATGTTTAAAAAGCATTTGTGATTGGGAACAGAGTCACGACAAGACACATGCATCAGTTTGCATAATTAATGCAAATTTTTTAAAATTTTAGCACAAATGTAAACATTTCCTTTGTTGCGCTCATATTTCTTTAATGCGTCAGTGAAGTCACCTACTCAAACATAAGGTAAAACATCAAAAAAACGATTTGACAACAGTCATGCAACATGAGAGTCAACTTTTTCCTGCTAATCCCACAAAAAATATTGACATTGATATATTGATATCGACAGAGAATTCCTGTGTATTACGAAACATAACGAACAAGAAATAATACAAGGGCTATAAATCTTTGTGTTGGAAAACAATGTGGTGAACTGCTCCATAATAAGTTACGCTGATCTTAAAAAAAAAATACCTCCACACGTCGCGCGAATCTAAACAAGAAGTACATGAAATCTTATTGTTGAAAATTTTTTTTTTTTAAAGTAACTCTTTCGACCAATGAGATTGAACATGGCCATGTTTTTGAGAATAAGATTCCATCAAATATATGTTTCTAATTTCTTTTTTAGCTTGAAACTTAAAAGAAGAAAATCAGGGCTTGTTTTTAGCTACAGATTGCAGCCATAGTCGAACAAAATCGAAGTTCTTGATTTGCAAAGGTTGATAAAGGTTGATTATCAAGTGGTACTCTAGTATCTGGGCATGGCTACGGTCGTCGGTCTAAAACATTTTGGAATAATTACCTTTAAACTAAAGTAGGAAACTAGATTAGCAGGCCACCCAGCTGCTGGGTGGCCTGAGTGACTAACCATCTGGATGAAAGGTTCTAGATCTGGCTGACTGTCCTGGCTGGCTAGAATTAACGGTAAGGACGAGACTGGTTGCAAAGATGGTTTTCCTTTGACTTTCTAAATGCAAACCTAATAAATGTCACCTACACTCGCACTTATTCTATTTTGTCGTAAGTGTTGGCAGGGGCATCTAGGGTTTTTGGAGTTTGGTAGGAAAAAGCTACAAAACATTCTGCTTGGTAAACAATTTTTAAAAATCTTTTTCTAGCACTTACGTTTCTCCTTCGTATGGCACAAGTCGTAGACATCCCTGGTGGAACAGCAATTCCAAACTCCTCCACGATGGGAAAGCTGTTTTGGTCGTGAATAAGAATGATAATCCCAACAGAAGGCCAAATCAAGTTTGGTATATAGCTCTCGCGTTCGATGTTAAGTCGTAGCTTCAAACCAGTTTGTAGGCCGGCAAGCGAAGCATTTAGCACAGGCTTGCCATTTTTTGCTGAATTGAATGTGTAGCATTTTGTGAAAAGTGGATTGAGGAAGCTGGTAAAATTGTTTGCGTCGCATTTCTTTCCATTTATGGAACAGGAATGAAGCAGGTGACCATTTGGTAAAAGCATGTCTTCAATTTGATGACTAAATTTCATTGCGTGAGGGTTGGTTTCGTTAGCCATTTTTGGGCGATAAGAAAGCGCGTTGTAGCGTTCTTTAAAGTATTCCTTAGAAATAGCTTCTGATCTCGTCGTCAGGAGAGATATATCTTGAATTCGCCTTTCGATCATCACTTCACTAAGATTTCCTCCTAAATATCGTCTGAATCTTCGAATGTTGAAAGGATTGAGGTTGCACAAAGTGACAGCAGGGAAGGGAAGCTGACTGTTATCTGCACCAAAGTTTGTTGTCATTTTCGTGTTGAAAGGATAAAGGGAATATTCCTTTAAGCAAATATAGGCTTGATGAATACAGAAGCCAAAGCATGCCAATATCATGCCCAACCAAACCAGTCTTCTAAAAAAGCCCTCAGAGAACAAAAATCTGGCTCCGTGAAGTGTGGTATCCTGAGCGAACGATCTCAATCCTTCGAAATTACCACTATTTGTGTTTGGCTGGAGGTTTTTTGTTTGTGTTTCGCTTTCGTGGAGGGCGGCTTCCCCTCCATGAGCGATCTCGTTTCTTTGGTTTGTTTTTGGCATTCTTCTTTAGAATAATTGATAAATCTGCTTAGATGTAAATTCAGTCTGAGAGACTTACATCTGGCAGAAAGCGTTGACATTCAGTGCTCGATGGTATCTCCTGGTATGAATTTTGTGATGTTAATATGGAGATCGAGTCTAATGAACATGAAAAATTAAATCGTCAGTTGCTGTGAAAGTTTTAGCAAGCTGGGAGTCAGATTGCATACAGACTTGAAACACGAATTACTTACGCAGCAAGTCCTAAATGTAAAATGCGCCTTAGTTATGACAGTTTCATTTTCAAATTGAACAAGCAAATAATGAAACCTTTATTGACTTTTCTGAATAGGAAATGAGTTCTTTTCGAATTTCCACTTTTGCATAAAAGCCAGTGCTTTCGACGATATACATGATACTAATAAAATATATTTTTAACATTTTTAGGGATTTTCTCCTCTTAGCTGCAAGTTTGAATCAATAGCAGTTAATTTTTTCTCTTTCTTTCCTTCTACATAAGGAAATTTAAATTGATTTCGATCAACCTAATTTAAATGACACTAATCTATATTTATATACTTACAACTTCAGCTTCAGCTTTAATGTTCAAATTTTATGAAATTAATTTAAAAACAGAACACAGCTCAGTCCACTCGCTGAACCGAGCTAGATTCTTTTCATAAGAGCTGATATCATTTTAGTATTTTTAGAAATTGCTTCTTTGGCAAAAAGTGATTCCCAAATGATTTGAACCACATGAAATTCTCATCTCTCACCTATAACAGCACTAAACGCTTTCTTCGCCCATTGCTTTACTAAAATTAAACCTTATTTGAAAAGCATTGTGATTGAAAACTCAATAGAAGACACATGGAGAAGTTCACATAACTAATGCGTCATATTTTCAATCTCCTGATATACAAGTAAACATGTCCTTTGTTGCGCTCATATTTTTTCAGAGCCTCTTAAGCCACCTCCTTAAAGGTAATGTAAATCATTATAAAAGTATTTGACAAAAGTCATAGAACTTGAAGGTCGAATTTTTCCTGCATTTTACAGGGAGTATTTTGATTTCAAGATAAAGCAATTCCTGTAAGAAATTTTGCGAAACGAGATTTAACTAACGAGTAGGAAAGACACGAGGGCTTAATTAAAATCTTTGTTTTAGAAAGCAATTTAGGGAAGGCTCCATAAAAAATTATGCTGATTTGAAAAAAATAAAAACTTCCTCCACACATGGTCTTAATCTAAACATAGAATTTTATTGTTGAAAAATTAGTCACCCAGAATAGATCGACAACATCTAACGTGGAAAAAAAATAGTTTAATAAAAAGTATATAAGGAATAAGAAAAACTGCAATGTTCCTAACATTTGCTTGCAAAAAATTTAGAGAAAATCAAATAATTGTAAATACTGATCTCAAATTTGCTCTATTCGACCAGTTGACCTAAACGTGGAATACGTTTGTTCTTTCATTTGAAATGGTTTTTAAGATGAGGAGCGTGGATATGCATGATTATTACAAATTAATTGAGGCCAGCCGTTGTAATACTGGTTCCCATACATAAGCAGAAGACGGTTTTAGCTGTGGAAGAGTTTGGTACTGTTATTCAACCGGGAAAGAAGAGAAAGAAAAATGATAGGGAAGACAGTGCGTTGGCGGGCTAGCCAACAAGCCAGTCATGCGCAGACAGACAGTCAGTCAGCTGATTAGTCACCAGTCCACTAGTCCTTCAATTAGTCCCGTAGTTCGTCATTCAGCCCACCGGCCAACCATTTCACTACTCAGTTTGTCAGTTAATCAGTAGTCAGGCAGTAAACGAGTCACCGTGTCCATCTGCCAGCCAACTGACCAGTCAGTCAGTCAGTCAGTCGTTTACTCTGCCACCGACCTGTCAGTCGGTCAGCCATCCAGCCAGAAAGCCAGACAATCATGATCAATCGTTCAGTCAATAAATCAACCGCTAAGTTATACTGACTCTTCTAGCAGGTTAAAACAACAGCAACTTTCCTCAGGATCTTAGTCACCTTCCAAAACTTTTTGTAATGGTTGTCTGGAGGCCGTCAAATTTAGAACATATCATGATTTTTGCCATTAAGTGCAGAAGAGGAAAAATACAGTAAGGAAATCAGCTTAAAATCTTTGGAAAACAGTTTGACAAAAAATACCCAATGAATTACGCAAATATAAAAAAAGGCTTTCACACCACACGCGAGTCTGAGCATGGAATATATTTTGGTAATCATAATGTTGCAAAGCAGGATAGAATGACATCAACTCAGGTGGAAAGCAACTTTTGATTGATACAAATTTATACCGAAAAAAAGAAAAGTTACATAAGTCCATAATCTTTGCTCTCGAACAATTAGGGGAAAATTGCAAAATAGGATATCCTGATTTCAAGGTGACTGTTTTTGACCAGGGAGACTAAAAATGGAATACATTTGTTCGTTCACAGAGCGTTTCAAGTAACAGACTGCGTGCGCGTGAAATATAGTGTAAACGTTAGGAAATTTAGCGTTTCCATAAGCGCTCTCGTAATAGATTTCGCTTTCCCGTGGGCGAAGAAATGCTTTTGCGGTGGCGCTTGTGATAGAGGATTTGCTCGCAGATTATAGCTCTATTGAGAGTATACCTACAAGTAATTGGCTCTAAAGAGGAGCATATGCTCGGCGGGGTAGCTTGAACTAATTTCCTAGTATAAGTGGCTTTGTTTCATTTACCAAATTAACAAAATCATATGCAGACAACTTGAAAATATAGCTGGATTATGATTCCAAATAAGAGTAAAAACTGAAAGGAGTAAAAGGTTAACAGTGAAAAGAAAATTCCTTATTGGCGGACAAACAAGGAGAACGTGATATACAAGGCCACCTAGATCGCTTATTATTGCTAACAGCTCGATGTTTAAATCTTTCATATTGCGCTCGGAGGGGGGGGTTCGATTTGAGTAAAGAAGATACCAAACAAACTGCACACACAAAAACGAAATGTGTACAGCTTCCAAGGCTCGCCATGATTGAATTTGCCGTATTCTTACTGAAGAAGAAAACATCAAGGAATTCATCTTCATTGTTGGTAAATTAAATAAGATACGTTTAAGTTTAGCTGATAAGAAATGTATCCATCATTTATTGATGATTTCTGGCATTAACAGAAAAATTTCTTAGAGAAATCGTGCTGACTGTGACAGAGAGCTGTAATTACGTACAACCATCACTGCGGCAACCTTCATCTATAAAACCTTAAACGACTTGGGAGTTCGTCAAGTCTTAGTAGAGGCACTTAATAGAAACGAGAATTCCTCTTTAGACACGTCTTCGACCATTTCGTTTAAAAAGAACTCAGCCGTTTAGAATTATAATGGCATTTCTTAAACGCAAAGTGGATGCTGAGGGAGTCGAAGATGGAACTAGTTTAAGAAGAAGCAATGTCGACATCAGGGATTCAGAAACAGAGCATCGAGATCTAGAGGGATGGAAGTCGTTCGCAGAGGACACAACTCTTCACGGTGCCAGGTTTTTCTTCGCAGATAACTTTTTCAGAAGACTGCTTTGGATTGCTGCAGTTTTAGGGTGCGCAATTTTCTGCAACTACCAAGTTTACACTTTTGTAAGACACTTTTATGAGAGACCTTTTAATACAAAAATAACGTTCGACAGAGATAACGATGAAAACGCATTTCCTTTCCCAGCTGTGACTCTATGTAATCTTAATGCACTCAACAAAAGGAAACTCATAAAGTCACTCACGAATGTTTACGGCCAAGCGACTGTCGATAAAAAGCTTCAGGATATGTATCTAATTATAAGAAGATCGAAAGCGGCGTTTACCAAAGAATTCAAGGAGCGCAATCCAGAGTTTTTCCATCGTTCTCAAACTGTCAACGAAACCCAAACGAACTTTTGGATAGCTGGTGATGATATGGAAGATATGCTTTTACCAACCAGCCCAGAATTCAGTTCTTGCTCAATCAATGGCAAACAGTGCAACGCTCATAACTTCACTAGCTCACTGAGCCCCTTTCATGGTTTGAAATGTCATACCTTCAACTCTGCAGAGGGTGGTAATCCATTGTTGAATACTACCGTCGCTGGTCTTCCAAGTGGCTTGAGGCTTCGACTTAACATCGAGCGAGACGAATATATTCCAATTCCATGGAGGCCTTCGGCTGGAATTTTGCTTCTCATACATGAGCAGAAGACGTTTCTACCTGTGGAAGAGTTTGGCATTGTTATTCAACCGGGAATGTCTAGTCTATGCGCCATAAAAAGAAGAAAGGTAAAGAGGAAAATCAGGGGCTAGTCAGTTAGTAAGTCAGACAGTCCGTCAGTTAGCTGAATACCAGTCATTGGAGACTCAGTCCTTCATTCAGCCTAAAGGCTGACCAGTCTGCCTGCCAATTACATTCGTCAGTCAGTTACATAGTTAATTGGTCTGGCTGTCAGTTAATATGTAACCCAGTCGCTCAGTCCGTCAACTAGCCTGCATCCAGCCAGTCAGCCAGTTGGTCACGGTCAATCTGTCACTCAGCCTCCCACCAGGTTAGGAGAACAGCAAATTCCCTTTCTCCCAAACCTTTATTTTTTCAATGGATGTGGGCAAGCTGTCAAATGTAGAACATATCATGATTTTTGCAGATAATTAACTTGGAGAAGCCGTATGCAACAAACTGCAGGAAAGGATCTCTTAAGTTTGACAGGGACTTTGCTATTATTTATTTGACTATTATCAAAGCTTGCGGTTGCACTGTAATAAAATTTCAAGGTTAGTCCCACTATGTCTTTGATAATAACGCAGAAGTTTTTATTCAGAGTTTGTTATTTGCACCAAAGCAACGTAGCAGGCGTTCACTTTTAGTAAGTCCACTTTTTAACTCGTGAATTGCGCGCATGCGCAAGAGTGAGTTGTAGATACGATGTGGGTAATGGCGCTCGCTCTCTCGATTGGTCGATTCCTGTAAACTTTTTTTTCGATTTTAGGCTTTTGAGTGCATTTGATAGTTTTTGGCGAGCAATAAATAAACGAAATGGCGACGTTTGTTACTAAGAATAGTGGTGGGGTGAAAAAGAAGCCAATGATCATCTTAAAAGAGTTTTTTTTTCGTTTTAGTTTCAACAAGCGGCGCCAGCGACTGGCAGGCAGGCAAGGATTCTCATTGAAATAACAGAACAACCATCGTTTTTCATAAAATCGTAATTTACAATCCTAGAACTTGAAAACAATCCGAAGACTCATTGAAAATATCACTTACTGCGGAGCGCTCGAAGTTTACAGATGTTTAAAAGCTTTTTCTGTTATGGCGTGCGATTGAGGACAAAATCGATCATTACGTTTTGTATCGTGTGTTTTTCCTGTGTTAAGC